AAACGAATCACAAACGGATTATTACACAATTACACTTGGCGCATTAACCTACCTGTTGACGGCGGAACGACGGTAGTTTTTGCGAGGCCCTCGATAACGACGAGGCGAGCGACCATACGCGAAACGAGAGGCGGCAGAGTGAGCGCGGGCGCTTCCCGCTCTTCAGCAGTAGGCCGAGAGATCCTTCTAGAAGACTCGAATTTTGAGGTGACCAAAAGCGTTTTTTGTTTACGTGAATTGCTTATTCGAGTCTTTTAGAATGTTCTCAGTGGAATTTTAACGCGGCTGATTGTTTTTCTACAATCAGCCGCTTTTCGCAACGAGGCGAAACGCTATTGGTCGCGCAGATCTTAGCGTCTACCGAGGATAGGCGCACTGCCGCGGCCGCGGAGCCGGCCCGACCACGCGAGCGGCACATGCTAGCGCCCGTCCTGAAATTGCGCATTCCTTCCAAATATCCCGCCTGCCCGCGGTCGACTCCCGAACAAATTTACATGTTAAATTACATGTTAAAATTTAATCATACGTATGATTGGGACAATGTTATAATTTTTAACTACGAACCAAATTATTATAAAAAACTAACATCTAAGACGATTCACATTAAGTCCCAAAAAAATAGAATTAATGCGATTGAAGTCACAGCGCTCTTTTAGATGATGTTTATTTCAATTTGCTAGAAAAACTCTCTAACGATAGATTTTAACATAGTAATGTTGTTTTTAAATGGTCTATAATAGACGCAATTAACATTAATTATAGTATTTGACAAGATCGAAGGATTCTGTTTTAGTCAATACGTTATAAAACACCAATCAGAATACATCTCATATTAAATAGGCTTAATATCATCTCTAATACAACCATGTAAGTTTTTATACTGTAATTACCAAAGTTCTGAAATTGTGTTATTTAGTATTTTATATAAAAATAGTTCTAGTTAAATAGCTACAACAATTTATATGTACGTTTTTATATAATAGAAAAGAGGTCTAGTTCAATAGCTACAACAATATGTATTATTAATAAATGTAACGGCATTCTTGAGCAAACTTTTGTTTGACAAATTTATATACATATGTATACTAACATGAATTTAACGTCATGCTAAAATTTTGGTATACCCTGTTTGACAGAAAGATCATCAAACATTTTACTTTTTTGATACGCATTTTATTCAGGACGATAAGAATCTATGATGACTGTGTTTAATAAAATTTATAATATTTGACTTCGTTTTTTATTATTTGTACATTGTAATGATCCAACTTATATTAATTTATACATTTATTTACCATTTATTTATACTTAATGCGTTGCGTTATACGTCAATAGGTTAATTTAGACGATCGAAAAAGACTTAGTGAGGTTGAAACTATATATTTAAAATAATAAATAATTAAATATAGATTTAATGATTGCTCGTCTTTAGCCTGTCTTTTAATAATTATATTATGTTTACAATAACGAGCTATATTCATCATTAACTTTTTAGGATATTCTTTGTATGTGAAAA